CTAGGGTTCACTATGAATAACAAACTAAGAGAATCACAATCAAAACCAATCGATAATTGCAATTACTAAATCAATTGTTCGTGTCATTAGCAATTACAATGCAATCTAGTAAAATTCTCGAGGCCTAATTGAATTACACACATGCAAACCTTCACTAATCACTTTAATCTCAACAATCAATCAACACAATTTCCAAATTAATCACAATTAATCAATCATACAAGTTCACCCAATTCCTAGCCAAACAACTATTCAAGAATCATCATCTATCAACTAACAGCTATGGAAATCAAGAACCAACAAAATATAAAGAACAATTACACTAATCAAACATCAAACATCAAAACTAAACCAAACAAACATGAAATTAAACAAAGCAATAAGGTGAGATAGAGTTAAGAATGCTCATTGATAATAGAGAAAATCTTGAACACAATTGTCACCCTTGTATCTTCAATCTCTCAATCACCATTGAAATCCTTCACTTTCTCTCTCTAAAACTACTCCTAATTTAGCCTAATATAGAGAGAGAAGATCTCAACCTAAGAGAGAAACTATTCTCAAAACTAAGAATTACAAGAATGAATGATAATAAAAACCCCCCAAAAAAATAATCTATAAACAAAAGGAGAAAAGAAGCTTAAAATCGTTAAATACCCAGAAGCACACGCCCTCAAAGAAATCGGCCGCGCCCGCGGACACCCTGGAAGCCGCTTCCGCGGCCAAAGCCCGCGCCTGCAAGGAGCCCGCGGCCAGCCCGCGGAGATTTACTGCCCAAAATCGGCAGAAATAGGTTGCGGCAGATTTGCAGGGCCAACTTTGGAAGGCTGCAACTCACGATCTAAGAATTGTATGAAGGCGTGCAACCTATCATCGGAAAGCTCTTCAAGTCTAGTTTCCAACCCAACTTGAATCACCTCAATATGATATTTAGAACTCGAGATATGGCCAAAACAATGCACAAAGGTCCTTTTTGATACTTTGTAAGCCTTCATTTTCCTTTGTTTCTTGGATTGGCTTGACTTGCGTGCTTGGCTTCCCTAACTTGGCTCCGTTAAATTCCTTAAATGCACTTGAGCTCCCTCCTTGATGATTAAATCCCTGGAAGCTCGACACACCTACAAAACATGTCAAACAAACGGAGAAGCGAGGGAAATAGCCGAGAAATGAATAAAATAATAAGAAAACCATTAAAAGCACGCATTTCTCTAAATTAACACACAAATACGCAAATCAAGTATTATTCCCTAAAAACACGACATAAACAACTTAAGACGAGCATAGAAATATAAAGAAAACATAGCCTAAAGGTGCCATAAATGGCACGGATCAAATTCCCCCAAGCTAAACTTTTGCTCGTCCTCGAGCAAAATAAAATCCAACCTAAGGGAAAAATGATGAATTTATTCAAGAAAATAAAGAAACAAAAAAGATAGAGGATGAGAATATAAACTAACTCACTTTCGTAGGAATCACGATCAATTTTAGCAACTAAAGACAAGCCATTTAAACCCCTAGATCGCCCTAGAGGACGAGTGATGCTCTCGTAAAGGTTTCCTAAGAGATTAACCCATAACTCTCATAATAATACAAACAAGGCAAAGCATAAAGAAGGAAATCAAAAGAAAAGAAGAGCAAACACATGTTCATGAAAGGACTTTTTAAAATGTACAAGCACAAATGAATGCAAATCTTTCTAAATAAGTAAGGGAGTGCACGCTCAAAGATACCTAAGGTTGATTGAAACATAAATATGCTAAGCTTAGGAACTAGTTATCTCACTCCACTTTCATTCCAAACGGACTTACCGCGTTCCCCCTACTAATCTCATATCTCTCCTTAGTGAGCATCTCATAAGTTCCACGAAGGAACCGGAAAAAGATCAAATTTATGGCTACTCGACGTCTTGACTACGCATCCCCTTTCCTTAGTCTATAACCCATGATTCCCTCCACCGATGAATGACTCAACCCCTAGGTCAAAAGGTCTTCCAAAGGTTGTAACGTAAGGCAAAAAGGGTTAAGGTAAGATAAATTTAAAATTTGGTGGTTAACCTAAATTGTGAAGCAAAGATTGCGCATTTCTTTACACCATATCCAAGTAATCACCAAACAAAAATACCAACACCCCCAAGCTTATTCAAAGCTAAGATCACAAACATATACACAAAAAGCGTGAGAACGCTTCCCCCCAAGCTTAAATGGAGCATTGTCCTCAATGCTCAAAAAGGAAGAATACTCACATCAAAATATTTTTGCATTTTTCATTTTTCACCTTTTTTTTAGTGCTTTGTTCTCGCCTCTTTTAACTTTGGACGGCTTTTTCAACTTTGCACTTTCTTTGTCCTTGCCTTTTTTAACTTTGGACGACTTTCTTCAACTTTGCACTTGCTTTGTCCTTGCCTTTTTTACTTTGGACGACTTTTTCAAATTTGCACTTGCCATTATTCACAAAATATACACAACACAAACTTGCTTTCAAGAGAACCAAATATCCAAACTCCTCCACTACAAACTCCAACAATAATGAACAATTGATTCACAAAAACCAAGAATGGAAACGAAAATGAAACAAAAGGCTCAACATATAGAGATGTGGCTTGAAAAGAAGGGAAAAAGGCTCAAAGGGTTAGCAAGTAGGCAAATGTAAACTCAAAAACCGGAGAAAATGAAAACTATCTTAGAAAAGAAAAATTAGCACCCCGAAAAGATGCCTTTATCCTCCGTAGGTGGTTCGGTCTTGGTCTTGGGAACCATAAGTCAAGATTCTAGATCAGCTCCGCAATAGTCAAGGATCCATGCTGCTCATGCAAATAAATATTGAAGGCTTGAAAAATAATGAACCTCACACGGATATAGCAAAAAACTCACTATGGGTGTCAAATCGACTATAGGGAGCAACTACCAATCATGCCACAAACAAGTAGAATCCGGCTTCATGATCCCCCTAGTTCTAGACAACTACCTTAGCATGCTTTATCCTAGAATCAACTAAGTGTACTCTCAAACCGTGCACACAACTACCACTTAGGAAGAAAAGCATTCAAGTTTACAAGTCCAATTGTTATTATGTTCAAAGAAAGAACAAAACAAAACACATTACAAATTTGCCTTGATAAAAACAAAAATCTTTTTTGGAGTTTTTCAAAATAAAAGAACATGGAAAAACATATACAAAGGTGCACAGTATATATGAATCAACATCCCATTAAACATGATTGAATACCCTCCCTCAAGCTTGAATGAGACTATACACTCAAACATAAATCAAATAATCCATGGGAGGGGAAAACAAGGAGATCAATCCAACAAACCAACATATGTCCAACATGGCATCAACCATTAGAGAAAGAGCAAGGAAGGATAATACCGGATTTTAGGTGGGTGTAAATACCCGCAAATGACCCAATTAGACCTTTCAAAGCTAAATTCTCAAGAATTGAACCTTGTTTCCATATGCTAGCAAAAATAGGTGTCAAGCTTCCTTGATTATTGATCCAAATAGAAGCACCAAAGTATATCAAGTCATGTACCTAGCAAAAGGCACATAAACATTTCCATGAGAGAAAATCTAATCTAAAAAGAAAATAAAATCTAATCTAGAGCACGGGTTACTTCCCGAGAAAGGCTTGCTTAAGGTCCAAGCTTGACTACTCTAGAAAATAATAATTCAACGCACGCAAGAGCTTGTCAAATGCACTACTACACATTTCATTGGAAAGTAAGTATGCACATGACAAAATAAAGGAATGCAACAAGCTTAGTGCACACCTATGGAGTTGAGAATAAGTATGCCAAGAAGAAGAAAGAGAGAAGGGAAAAACAAGAATATAAGAAAAAGGAAGAGAAATACAAGAAAAAGAAGAAGACATACTCTTCTCAACAAAATATTTTTGGTTGGAAATCCCACCATCATCCTCAAAAGTCATCAAATGAGGCACTTGGGGGACTAAAGGATTTTCAAGAGGAGGGGATATGAGAAAAGAAGGTAGTGACATGGGATAGGAGGGAATAAGATCAAGCTTTCTTGAAAATGAGATGCAAGGTAAGGAAATAGGAATTAGTTGTTCACTTACACCACTATCTATTGAAACACAAGATCTCTCATCCAATGAACTCACATCCAAAGGGCTCTCCTCCAACTCGTCATTATTCAAATTTAGCTCATTCTCAATCACACCCTCCTCATAAACTTCACACCGTAAATGAGCTCTCAAAAGCTTCAAATCATCATCAAGGTTCAAAGGAAGCTCATCAAAGGGTTGAGGGTCAAACTTGGGAGGTAGCTCAAAATAAACATGAGAAGTACAATCTCCCTCTAAAATGGCATCACCATTCTCAATGGTGGAAAATGTAGAAGAGAAAGGATCATCAAAGGTGAAAGGAGAAAGCAATGGTTTAAGATTTGAGATAGGAGTTGGAGACTCAACCTCACCAAACACTTCACTCTCATCTTCATAATCATCAAAAGTAGGCTCTACCTCCTCAACCTTATCATAAGGGACCTTTTCTTCATCAAAATCATCTAAGCTCAAGGCCTCACCCTCAAAGCAACCATGGTTATTAATCAAAGGAGATGGGGTGGAAGAAGGTTGGTTTTCAAAATTAAGGAATGGAGGAATGAAATCACAATCAAGGGAGGTGGGTGGCATAATTGACTCACCAATTGGTTTTTCAACACTCAAAACCTCTTGGTCCTCATCACCCTCAAACATCCAATCGCCCATGGAGACTACTTCATCCTCCTCGTCCTTACTCTCTGTCCTCGCAACTTCTTCCACTTCAAAAATTGCAATGTCCCATCCTTCATAACTTGAATTACCATTTCCTCAAAATTAAGAGAAGCCAACATTTTTACACTACAAGAAAAAGCTTTTTGGGCGACAGGTGCGTTTATTAAGAGCAATGAAACTTCCTTTCGTTGCACATTGTTGATATTTTGTGCGACGAGATTTAATGCGTCGCCCAAAATAAAATTATGGGCAACAAGTTATTTCTTTGTTGCCCTATACAGATATATGGGCAACAAAACAGTGGATGTGTTGCCCTTTATTATTTTTTTGGGCCACAAAATATAACTTGGTTGCCTATTTCCATAGTTAGGTGACAAATAACTTAATTCGTTGTCTATTTTTATTAAAAAAAGCGGAGTGGTATTTTATTTGGTTGCCCAAATTCCACTAAAAATTTGGTGGAAAAAACACCGCTTTCATTGAAATTCCCAAAAAAAAATTCATAAGACTAGTGATGCAAAAATTTCAATACAGCTTCCCCTAAAAAATAAAAAAAAAAGAGTACTGCTTAAAGAACTAACCCTTTACCCACGATCAAACAATTTTCCCTTCTCATCCGTTAAAAAAAACCCATCAATTTCTCTTCTCTTTTCTCTGACCAAACCGAAAGCTGCCATTGAAGAGGTTGTTCTTCCATTATTTTTGCATTTCTTTGTAAAATTCAGTATTTCTTTAGCTAATTCATTCGTTAATTCCGCCATTGACGGCGGTGGCCGGCGGTGAGGCAGCGGTGACAGCGAATTTAAGGTCGACGCATTGACGGCGGTGAGGTAGTAGGTCGGTTACCTATCCTCTCTCTTTTATGTAGTTATCTATTTTACTACTACTAATTATTTTTTATCTCTTGAATTATTGTTTTAACTTTTTAATTTCTGTGAATTATCCTTTTATTATTGATTTTGTAGATTAATCATGATGTATTGTATACAAACTTTTCATTGATTTGAAAACCATAATTCGATGACTTTCCTTGTATTTAACTGTTTTTGTTGATTTTTAGCCCCCTTTTTAATTTAAAGGTTATCAAAGGTATAAAAATTTGGTATTCTCAAATTGGCAAATTCATATTCTGCTTTCACAATTGCAACATAATATGGAATCTGGAAATTATGTTGTGTTGTTCAGGAAATATTGTCAAGATTGTAGAATTGAAAATTATATAGCTTACATTATGATAATCATATGTTTCTAGAAATTAAAACCATAGTGGTTTTGATGCGGTGTCGAATGTGTTTAAATTTGTTAGGATTATATAGTAAAAGGATAACCTTGGTTTGCTTGACAGTGAGTTTGTAAGTTCAGTTTTTGTGTTCTCCTTTGGTAGAAAAAAGTGGAGGAGACTTGATTTTAATGCTCTGTTTGAAATGCACTCTCGTTCGTGTAATGTGGGTGGTTTTGTGCAGGGCCGTCTTAAACATATTAGAGGCCCTGTTCTAATTCTAAAAGTTGGGCCCTATTTTTAAAAAATGTAATTTTAATTACTAGAATGAGAAATTTTTTTCAACTCTGCATTATCTTATTCTGATTTACATGTACAGTGTACATTATGTGCACCATAAAAAACTCAAAAGCAATTTTTTTTTTTGTGCATATAAAAACACAAAAATATATTGTTGCAAATCGAAAATACTCCGTATAAAGTACCAAATTTTCTTACTTCTAGTTTCAATCTTAAGAAAACACAACTACAATAAGCACTTAGAAAGTCTCAAATATAAGAAATTTTTTCATATTAAAATAATAATAATAATAATAATAATAATAATAATAAATAAAAAATTATTACCTCACAATCAACCGATTCTCCTTATTTGACAGATTCTCATTTTAACCAAGTAAACCAAGATGCAAGATGAAACTAATTTTTCTATTAGAAGCAAATCATGATGAAAATACCACTAATCACCATTAAAATCAAGAGAAGAAGGTGTAGTTGAAATGTTAAATTGATTTTTTGAAAAAAATTACTCGTATATCTTTGGTAAAACATGAAAATCAATGACAAGCTTTAAATTGACATAGGAAGATGGAAAGTTTTCCATAGGAATTGCAAATTAATTGCGGCAATTATGGAGTAGATTAAATTGGAGGAAATTCAAACTGAACATTTGGGAGTCGGGACTCGGGACACAGAAGATGGTTGAACTAATGTTTTTTTTAATACATGTATGGGCTCCCAATCAAATTGGGCCCTCAAATTGTTGAGGCCCTGTGCTAAGGGTCTGGTTGTACAGGCCCTAAGTCGGCCCTGGTTTTGTATATCGGTTGACATCGGTTATAAGGGACAGACGGTTGAATTATGTCCTTTGATTTGGTCCTAATTGTTTATGTTGATTTTTAGCCCCTTTTTAATGGTTATTAAAAGTATAATTTGGATATATAGTGCCTCACAAATGTCCTTTTAGGCTGTTCATTATTTCTGTTTCAAAAACCTTTCATTAATTTTAATTTGATTGTTTCGATAAACATGGGTAATAATCCAGTTAGGGGATCGGACTACGGTGATCTATAACACTTATGTGACATAATCATATAATTGATTAGCTGTGTACTTAACCATTTAATTTTCTTACATTCAATTTGTTAATGGTTTTCTTTTATTTTCATTTCAAGAATGAATAGAGATCGAACTTGGATGAACCACAATGGTATAAAGGATAGGCAAAAACAAGAGTATAGAAAAGGGGTTGATGAGTTTTTAAAATTTGCTTTCAAAGAAAAAAATGATAGGACATTGTTAAAATGTCCATGTTTGAACTGTCGATTAATGATGGCCCAAGATTGGAAAACTATGCAATGTCACTTACTAGTATATGGTATAGACAGTAGTTATAACCCATGGGTGAGTCACAGAGAAAATGATAAACAAGATGGTAATATCAAAAATGATGAGAACACGATGGAGGTCTTAGATGACGAAGAGGATGAAATGCCTTTTGATGACATGGCTCCATTGGTTTTTGATGCAACAAATGCATGGAATAATAATACTACAACTTCTGAAGTTCCCATTGATAGTGGTAACACCATGGAGTTTGGTTCTAGTAGTTGCAATGATGAAACCCCTAATAAGGAGTTCATGACGACGTTACTTGAAGATATAGAGGTCGAGTTGTATCCAGGGTGCAAGACATTTAAAAGATTGGAGTTTCTTGCACATTACTACACATCAAAGTTAGTAACAAGTGGAGTGATAAGTCTTTTTCAATGTTATTGAGTGCATTGCATAGGGCATTTAATCATGATAAAAAGTTTCCAACAAATTCTTATGAATCAAAAAAATATACAAAAGCACTAGGATTAGATTATATAAAGATTGATGCTTGTGTAAACCATTGCATTTTGTTTCGGAAGGAGTTTGCAAATGAAGAAAAATGCGGCTAAATGCTTGGCTCCTAGATGGAAGGACAAAGTTGTGCAAGGTGGTGATGTATCTTCAGGGGATGAAGGTGACGAAGGGGATGAAGGTGACGAAAGTGTTGCTGGAAAAAAAACAAGAATTCCTCAATTAGTTTTACGTCATTTTCCTCTTATTCCAAGGTTGCAAAGAATGTTTGTGTCCTCAAAATTAGCAAATCATATGCGATGGCATAAGGATGAATGCCCAAATGATGAGGTAATGAGGCACCCAGCTGATTCAGAAGCATGGAAGTCTTTGGATACCCTATATCCAGAATTTGCTGCCGATGCTCGTAATATACGCTTGGGTTTAGCAAGTGATGGATTTAATCCTGGGGCTAACATGAGCAGCAGATATAGCATTTGGCCAGTAATGTTAATTCCATATAATTTACCTCCTTGGATGTGCATGAAAAGTGACAACATGATCTTATCTTTGCTAATTCCTGGTCCTAAATCTCCGAGGAATGATATAGATGTTTTTTTGCAACCTTTAATTGATGAACTTAAAGAATTGTGGGAGATAGGAGTAAAAACTTTTGATGCTCATACCAAGCACACTTTTAATATGCGAGCAGTGTTGGTGTGGACTATTAGTGACTTTCCAGCTTATGCTAATCTTTCTGGTTGGAGAACTAAAGGGAAACTTGCATGTCCTAATTGTCATAAAGATACACGATCATTTTGGTTAAAACATGGGCGCAAATACTGTTATATGGATAATCGAGTGTTTTTAGAGCCAGATCACAAATGGAGACGTAATAGGAGTGCATTTGGTGGGAAAGTCGAACGGGGTCCTCCTACTACTCCACTTACAGAACATGATGTTTTAGAGCAATTAAGTGGCTATTCAAATTTGAAGTTTGGAAAAGGTGTTACTAAAAAAAGGAAAAAAGGCGAACAATACATCGTGCATCAGTGGAAGAAGGAAAGTTGTTTCTTTCAATTGCCATATTGGAGGCATCTTTTAGTGCGACATAACTTAGATGTTATGCATACTGAAAAAAAATGTATGTGAAAGCATATTAGGCACACTAGTTGATTTATCAGGAAAGAACAAAGACTCCTTAAATGCTCGATTGGACTTAGATGGTATGAAGATGCATAGTCAGCTACGTGCAACATCTTTAGGAGATAAAAAGTGGAAAATCCCTCCGGCATCTTACAACCCTAACTTTGAATGAACGGGGGAAAATAGTTACCTTTCTGTCAAAACTGGCTTTTCCAGATGCTTATGCTTCAAATATATCGCGGTGTACTTCTTTGCAAGATGGAAAGATCATGGGAATGAAAACTCATGATTATCATGTTTTCATGCAAGATTTGCTCATGCCTGCCTTTAAAGGTGTTATAGATGAGAAGGTTTTGGAACCTTTAAGGGAGCTTAGTTTATTTTTTAAGCAATTATGCTCAAAAACTTTGAAGGTTTCCGACTTAAAGCAAATGGAATCAAACATTGCAGTCACCTTGTGCAAGTTAGAACATATATTTGTTCCTGCATTTTTTGATGTGATGATACATCTTCCAATGCACTTAGCCACTGAAGCTAGGATGGCTGGCCCTGTGCATTATCGCTGGATGTATCGCTTTGAAAGGTAAGTAATCTAGTAATGATAGTTTTTAATTACCTACATATATAAATACATATCTTAACTATACTTTTTTTTAAAAGGGCAATGAGGACATTTAAATCATATGTTCGAAACAAAGCTCACCCCGAAGCTTCAATTGCTAATGGGTACATTGAAATGGAATTTCTAACATTTTGCTCTATATGTCTAAGATTGAGACACAATTTAACCATCTAGATCGAAATGACGACATTGACCATCAATAACCCCATATCATGTCGGTTTTCTCTATAATTGGCAAGTCTTTAGGGAAGACAAATCTAAAGCAGCTGAATTTTGATGAATGGAACGAAGCTCAATTATATGTTCTAAAAAATTGTGATGAAGCACAACCTTTTATAGAGTAATTTAATTCAATTGATGTAAAAAAATATTTAAAAAATATATATAGTAGACTAATTAATACATTAATTTCTATGGTTAGTGAGTATGAAAATGATAGGAGTCTTCCAAAGATTGACTTTTGCCAATGGTTTAAACATAGGGTAAGTAAGCACATACTTCTTTTTTCCTACTATATTTTCCCTTTTTCTTTATTGTTTTCTTATTACATGTGAATAACAAATTGTTAAGCTTTGGAAAGATGGGGATGAACGGATTACAGAAGAGTTATTGTGTTTAGCATGAGGACCTATGAAACATGTTATGACTTTTGATGGATATGTCATTAATGGGTTTAGATTTCACTCCAAAAAAAGGCAAAGAAATCGTAAAACTCAAAATAGTGGTGTAGTTGTGAAAGGCGATGATGAAAGTGGAGAAATTCTTTTTTATGGGATTTTAGAGGGGGTTATTGTGCTAGAGTATGGTGCCTTAAAAAATAGAACAAGTCCCAAAGTTGTTCTATTTAAATGCAAGTGGTTTTATGTGTTTATTGAGGGGAGAGGGATTAAAAAAGACAATTTAGAAGCAGTGCTTATCATTGTTACTCGAAAGTTAAAAACTAATGAGTCATTTGCTAAATTGAGCAAGTCTTCTATGTACCCGCTCATAATGAACCAAATTGGAGATATGTAATTAAGGCAAATCCACGAAACTTCTTTGATTTCCCTAATGATTAAGATACTCATGAAAATGAATCATTGTGGGATCATGTGACACCACCTGTAACTAACTATGAAGATAGAGATGATGAAGACATTAATTTAGTTAGAAATGATGTTGAAGTTGAAGTAGTACACGCTGACATCAACCAAGGAGATGATTTTATTAATGAGGATGAGGAGGAAGAGGAGGAGGAGCTCTCTGAAATGGAATCTACTTTGCATGCACTTGATGACGATCCTGAAGACGATGAATATGAAAGTGATAGTTCTACTGAATAACTTAGTTGGTGCATTGAAACTGGTATTAATTTATAAGATATAGATAGTAGTAAGTAGAATTTTGCTTCTATACAATTATTATTTTAATGATTAATTAGTATCATCATGGCTGTTTTACAGTGACTGAAGAGTTGATTGGAAGCTGGAAGGCATCACAGTTCATAAATTTGAAGATTCAATAATTTCATTTATATAGTTAAAACTATCTAAATAGTTTTTTTTTCTTGTTTTTTTGAAGCAAAACCCCAAGAGGGAAGAAACTATATAAGTTGAAACTATCTAAACAACTCCTTATTGCTTTTTTTTTTTTTTTATTTATTTATTGTTTTTCATTATTCACTATAAATTGATTAATAATATGCATGATTAGAGTGTTAGTGCTGATATATTTGTCTTTTGTTTAGTTAAATACATGTATACATATTTATATCGTTTTTAAATATATTATCAAAACTGGTAAGCATACAAATTTTCAATTACCTATCTTTTCTTATTCAAATGATTTCTTCTAGAATTAATTTATTTACGTGGAATAAATTTGACATGAATTTTATTGTAGGAAAATGTCAATCATACCAACATCATCGGAGCAAAATCAACAAGAAAGTGAGATTCAACAACCACCACCAAGGTTGAATTATCGTGAGCAGCGAAGGATTGACCAAGCTGAGCTTCGAAAAAAAAATTCTGATCGTAAGAGGCGTGGTCCTACCAGGGGGCTTAAAATATGTTTCTAAAAGGGCAAAAAATCCAGATGAAAAAATTACAATAACTTTCATGGATGAGCTTCCACGTGTGGTTGGTGAAAAGGCAAATGAGTTCATATGCGATTGTAGCAATTCAGTCGAAGAGTTTTGTCCTTTAGATGCATTGTAAGTCTAAGCTTGGTAAAATTAATTTCACTTATCTAACATGCATGTCTTAATGAGCACATCTATGTGATTTATGATTTTTATTTATTTTGTTGGTAGAAATTGGGCTAAAATGGATTCTTCTGCAAAGCAAAGTTTGTATGACAAGATTTTGGTGAGTTTGAGTTTTATAAAACATATTTGTTGAAGTTTTAAATTATTAGATCACTTTACTAACTAAAGTTTTTGTGTGTTGGGATTAGGGGATTTTTCCCCACCAATCACCATCTGACAAGTGGACCAATCAGGTTCCGCCATGTGTCTGTCACATGGGCCAATAGGAGCCTGCCACGTGTCAAGCAATGATCCGTCCACTATGGACCAATTACGACACGACACGTGTCCTTCCCATGACACCTGGGATAACCGGTCACCTAGGCCCAACTCCCGAGGGAAGCCCAATCAGCCCAAGGTTAACCTAAACCTAGATTGACACGTTTCCCGAGGTGATAAATACCTCCCTTAATCCTCATTAAGGGAGATAACACGCTAAAAACGCAGATTACACACATTAAACACTCTCACCTAGAGAGACCCAATCACTTTAATTTCCGCATTAATTACTCCTTAATCAAGTACTAACTTGACCGTCGGAGGCGGATCTCCAACCATCCGGAGCATCCGTTTGTTTTGCAGGTACAGGCGTCCGGTTCCAGTCTCGGAATTGTAACTCTCCCGCAGGACATCAGAAAACCCCGAAACATGTTGTATTTTAAATGATGATTTACTAGGGAAAATACAATTTACCTGAAAAGGTTGGTGGTGCGGACGTGATTGATGCATTGAACTTTCAATGCTCTATCCTATATAGGCATTGGAGGTTTAGACTAAAGGAAAAATACTATAGAGGTAAAACTAAGGCAGAGGCTAGAGGCAATAGACCTCCAACTATTGATCCGGCACAATGGGATTGGTTGGTTTATGAGTATTGGAGTTCCCCAAAACAAGAGGTAATGTGCTTCCCTTTTTTTTGGATGGTAACGTGCTACACCTCTTGGTACAATTAATTTCTAATTTATTAAATATCATTGTAATTATGTTACATTGACTAACTTGTCCACTTATAGGCCATTATCAAAGTAAACACAGCAAATAAACTAAAGTTGATTGAAACACCGACCAATGGAGCAAAGTCTACAGCACGAATGTTCTTTGATCTGGTGTGGTTTTTTGGCTTTTCAATTACAAAACTATATTAATTAAACATTATTGATTTGGATATTCATTTATTTTTTCATATGCAGCTTAATGAGCCACCAAATGTCTCCACTCAAGATGAAGAGCAATCTGAAATTGCCCATATCTATTATATTTGCCCATAAAATTGTTGCCCATATTATTGTACCAAACTGCAAATCAGCTTTTTTTTGTGACGATTAACACTCTTTCGTAGCCCAAAGGAAATTGTGCAACAATATAAATCGTCGTCCAAACATACTTATGGGCGATGAAGCGCACAGTCGTTGCACATAAAGGAACTAATTATAGGCAACAAAAGCAAAAGTCGTAGTCAAAACAGTATTATGTGCAACGCATGTAATCGTCGCCCTAAGCTATATATGGGCAACGCCGTATATAGTCGTCGTCCAAAATTGTAAGGGCGTCGACCATTGGGCGACGAGCCCACGACGAATCCTTAGTCGTTGCACAAGGCTTTGGGCGACGACAATTGAGGCTTGGGCGACGAATTCTTTTATTGCCCAAAGGCTTTTTCCTTGTAGTGTTAGTTTCTCTTCAACTCCATCTAAAGGCTCAATGGAACGAAATTCAAATTTGGAAGGAGGTTCAAAATGCAAACTCTCTTTAGGAACATCCATCTCTAGACCCTTTTCCTCACTCATGGGGTCTCTAACATCCTCCTCACATGCTTTGGAGCTCTTGAAACAATCATCATCATCGTCTTCCATACCTACCAATGTGGTAGAAACTTCATTTACATTCAATATTGATGATAATTGACTCTCCATCTCCTCATTCTTCCTAAAAACACCTTCATTACTCTCTTCCAACTTTTTCAACATTTCCATTTGGCTTCTCACAATCTCCAAATATCTCATCTCAATTGGTTCCAAATTAGAATTCATCTCCAATTTTCTCAAAGAACCACCAATTTGATTATAAGAAGACTCAAAGGTAGGATCTAAAGATTGGAAAGATGAAGAGCATTGAGGAGCATAATGGGGGAAAGAATTATGTGCAAGCATGCAAGGATCAACATTAGAGATATGAGTGGAATCATCAAATTGGGGAATGGGGGCACAAGTAGGCATGCAAGGTTCATCATTCATGGAACATGGACCATAATAATCATCAATGGAAGCATTTTAATAACCATGACCACGATCATAACTATCTCTAGCAAACCATACATAAAAGTCCCAAGCATCATCGATTAACAATGCTCGAAATCCACCATTAAACATGCTTTCAACAATGTCTCTAGTTTGCTCATTCAAATTATGATAACAAATCTTGCAAGCCTCCCAAATATCACAACCATGGTAACTAATGAAGTTCTCTAGTCTATTAAAGTACACCCAAAATGGTTCATCCTCTAATTGAGGAAATCAGGTATTTTCCATTTTATACAAAACAAACAAAAATAAAATAAAAAAAAAGTATACACAAAGACCTAGACTCAAGCAATAAAAACACTCAAACATAAACACCGTTCCTCGGCAACGGCGCCATTTTGACGAGGGGAAAACTAGGTCGTTATCTAATCTTTCCTCGGTCAAACTAAATTTATAAACACTTAACAAACCTAAATACGAGTATAGAGGCAAGTCAAGGGTCGAACCCAAAGGAACGGTAATGTTCAAGCACTTTCAATTATGCGCCTAAGCTGGGTCAAAATCAAAGGGTAAAGGGAGAATTCTAACAACTAACAAAACAAGTAACTAAAGAAATAAAACACTAGGAACGGAGATTAACAAGTAATCATGTCAATTGCAACAACTTGGAAAGATCAAGTCAATCAAAGGTTGTGAAGACTAGTGATAAGAACAATCAATTGGAATTAAAGACCTATCTCCTAATTGTTAAGCTAGGGTTCACTATGAATAACAAACTAAGAGAATCACTATCAAAACCAATCGATAATTGCAATTACAAAATCAATTGTTTGTGTTATTAGCAATTACAATGCAATCTAGCATAATTCTCGAACAATTACACTAATCAAGCATCAAACATCAAAATTAAACCAAACATGAATGAATGATAATAAAAACAATACAAGTTTCACCCAATTCCTAGCCAAACAACTATTCAAGAATCATCATCTATCAACTAACAACTATGGAAATCAAGAATCAACAAAATATAAAGAACAATTACACTAATCAAGCATCAAACATCAAAATTAAACCAAACAAACATGAAATTAAACAAATTAATAAGGTGAGATAGTGTTAAGAATGCTCATTGATAATAGAGAAGATCTTGAACACAATTGTCACCCTTGTATCTTCAATCTCTCAATCACCATTGAAATCCTTCACTTTCTCTCTCTAAAACTACTCCTAATCTAGCCTAATCTAGAGAAAGAAGCTCTCAACCTAAGAGAGAAACTATTCTCAAAACTAAGAATTACATGAATGAATGATAATAAAAACCCCCAAAAAATAATCTATAAACAAAAGGAGAAAAAGAAGCTTAGAATCGTAAAAGACCCAGAAGCCCGCGCCCTCGGAGAAATCGGCCGCGCCCACGGACACCCACAAAGCCGCGCCCGCGGGGCCAAGGCCCACGCCCGCGGCCATCCCGCGGAGAGTTACTGCCCAAAATCGGCAGAAATAGGTTGCGGAAGATTTGCAGGGCCAACTTTGGAAGGCTGTAACTCACGATCTAGGAATTGTATGAAGTCGTGCAACCTATATTTGGAAAGCTCTTCAAGTCTAGTTTCCAACCCAACTTGATTCACCTCAATCCGATATGTGGAACTCGAGATATGGCCGAAACAATGCATAAAGGTCCTTTTTGATACTTTGTAAGCCTTCATTTTCCTTTGTTTCTTGGATTGGCTTGACTTGCGTGCTTGGCTTCCCTAACTTGGCTCCGTTAAATTCCTTGAATGCACTTGAGCTCCCTCCTTGATGATTAAATCCCGAGAAGCTCGACATACCTACAAAACAAGTCAAATAAACGGAGAAGCGAGGGAAATAGCCGAGAAATGAATAAAATAATAAGAAAATCATTAAAAGCACGCATTTCTCTAAACTAACACACAAACATGCAAATCAAGCATTTTGCCCTAAAAACACGACATAAACGACTAAAAACAAGCATAGAAATATAAAGAAAACATAGCCTAAAGGTGCTGATTTGGGTATTTTTATACCCAGCCAGGTGGCCCAATCGGAAGCCGCCACGTGTCATTAGAAGGGGTGCCATCTGGAACTTTGAGATGGTGACACGTGGTAGGCGGACATTCTTCTGTTCTAAAATGATTGATTATCCAGCATGGATCATTAAGAGGGCGACGCGTGTCATCCTAAAAGATGCCCAAAAGCCTTTTGGGCTCAGTGACACGTGTCACTCAAGCATTGCCTCTGGAATGGCGGCCTTCAAGGGCCCAAACCTTGAGGCGCCGTTTTGCGGCGTGACCTAATCCCTTGGTCACCAGATCCTAGGGAGGGCACACTTTTCTAAAAGACCCTATAAATAGGGACAGTTCCTACATTTATGATGAGGAATACACACAATACGAGACAACATGTCACTTTCACATTTATTAGAGAGCTGTCGTTTTCAAGGAACAGACAACACTTTATCTGAGCTTGGAATCCGAGCAGATAACTTTATTTCCGCACGTTTTATTCCGAATAATAACTAACTTAATCTTCGGAGGCGGACCACCGACCATCCGGCGGTCCGTTTTCTTTGTAGGTACAAGAGTCCTTTGCTGAATCCAGTCTCAGTGTTGTAACTCTGAGATGGATTCACAAGTCCCTGTACCGAATCCTGAGACCAATCGGCCTCCAGAAGACATAGTGGTCCAGACGGACCATGACTCAAGGGACGACGCTGACGTCGAAACCTATGTGGATCCTAACGGGTCCCTCATCTCAAAACGCATCCGCAGTAGGGAAAAGCGGGAGCGTCACACGGATCAGGCGGGGCCAAGCAAAACTGATGGTCAGCCAAAAAAGACCTCGGTGCGGACGGGTGATCCTTCCTAGGCGGCAGGATCGACTCCCGTCACTCGAGATGAACTCATGAAACTCCTGAGCAGTCTTAGAGTGAAATCAAACAACTCGCC